CAATTTGAACGTAATTTATTTTTGATATTCTACAGTTTCAAGTCAATTTATATCTACTCCGTATATTCTGCGAGATGATTCTGATTTAGCCTCAATTTTATATTTTGAATAAATTTTTAAAGTAAATAAAGATCCAATAATAGTATTTGGAAATTTTATTCAATTTTTTGAATATTCAATATTACTGTGCAACTAATTTTTGTTATTCTTATGTCTTCCTACTTCCTATTTCTTTTTGGCTTTATGCCCTCGTAGAGGGCCTAGTGCCCTCAAGTGATGAAACATTTTTCAAAAATTGAGGTGGGTGTCAAGTTAGCACTGCTCTTTCTTAAAAATGTCTTAAAAATGTTTCAACAATAGGCTTTCCTAATAGTTCTTGAGAAGTTATATAGTTCCCGGTCTCGTTCTTAGTGTTACTTTGGAAATCAGCGATGAGTAGCGGAGAACCTCTGCGTCCCAAGCTATACGTTCGTGATCACGTTCTACTCGGCTACGACGGGATGCACATTATCGACGGAGGCGATGATCACAAAATCCTACTTCTGGACTCGCCGTAGAAACTGTCTGTAGAAAAATCAAGTATAGAAGATAATTATGAGCGCATAATTATACTGATTGGAGCAAAATTTCAGAATTGCTTACGAAATATGTTTGTGCAACAAACTGCTTATATTCTGGATAAATATATTTACGATTTTAAATCTTATCCCCGGACCTAGTGATAAAGAAGAGCAAGTGTCAAAGTTATCGTGTACTTTATTATTTCAGTAAGAATTAAGAAAGAGGCTGTAACTGACGTTGTCGAGTCAAGTGAAATTCTTCTAGCTGTTAATATTATTTCATCAAGACGTCATACGTGATAACTATGCGTACAAAACGTAGTTGTATATCAAGATTTCATTAGATAATATTTGAATAGGGATTAATTGGCAACGAGATAGGAAGGAATAGAGTACCTTTGAAATTTCCAAGTAGTAATTGGAACTTGTGCTTTAAAACAATTTCGGAAAATTAAGAAATTGAAATTGGGATTTGGCTTGGTGTACAAATTTTTAATACAACCATATCATCTTGATTTACTTCAAAAATTTCATTTCAATCGTGGTTATGACCTATATTCATAATTTTTCAAATATAAATTATTCCAAAACAAAGAAAAAGTACAAAATTTCGAACTTGTAAGGTATCATTTCTTCTTCAACACAAATGATTCAGTCTTATAAACATTACAGTACAACTGGAGAAAAGCATGCTTAAGTCATGTAAATCAAGCTGATATTGAAATATGATGAATAACACTTAGAAGAAATGAGGAAATTATTCTTGGTTATGACAATATTCGGCATCGGTTTTCGTGTTAAGTATTGAGTGACAGTTTCGTCTGTACAGTTGATTTGTTCCTTCTTCCCGCGAGTCGTTCTGCCAATCAGCAATCGTCTGATTTGGAACAGTTGCGCCACTCGTGGCCGCAAACCATACTACTTTATGATTATAATCAAGATTCAAGTAACTTCATAACCAATGGCGTCAACGAATGGATATCAAACTTCGTCCCCGCCCTCAATCTCTCCCGCCTAAAATATGTCATTGATAACACATTCGAAACTTATGCAACAAATGAATAAATATAAATGCGTAACAAAGAATATAACAAATACTTCATTGTATCCTCAACTTGCAACATCTCCTTATAGTATACAATACAGAGTATCCAGGGATTCGTGTAAATTCTCACAGGGATTAGTCTATTTTCGTAATACGTAGGGTGCAGCGCACCCAAATTATCTGCTAGCTACAGATCCGCATGCGTAGGAGAACAGAAAGTATATTCAAATCTGTATAAATAATTGTATACGTAATTTGTACAAGTAGATACATGTACAGAGTTCCCACATATTGAGAGCGGGGCTGTTTATAAATAAATTTTGGAATACGCCTTAATTGATTTGTTATTGCATCGTGTACGTATCCCCTTCTTTTTTGCGAGTACGAGTACGAGAGGGGATGAAGCTATGTCGGTGACGTCAATTCTCGGTGAGCATAGCGCCTCATGTCACAGAATCCTTTCTGGCTTTCAGAAGACCAGCAAGCTAACAGACTCGACGACTATCCAACACGAAGGTAAATCGGATACTGAGATCTCTGTATTTTTTGAATCCCTCCCCCCTCCCCCCCTTTACATAGTACCAATAATTTTACACACTGGCTCCCTCTTCATGGATCTTTAACGCAGATCATAGTTCATTCGTTGATTCTCTGTCTCTTAGTGTTTAGTTCTTTTTATAAATTTCTTTTCGTCACGTACGCATAGTGTTACTCAACAGCACTTTAATGTAGAAAAGTTGTTTTAAACTATTAAGCTTGTAAACTTACATACATTCATTGTTGCTGTCTTGTTGATTTAGATACTTTATTATTTCATTAAATTTTAATACAAGATTTGAGTAACGGTGTTGATGCTCTGGGATGTCTTGTGTTTTTATATTTTTATTTTTTCTTGGTTTATTACAGCAGCACTTCTCAGCGACGTCGTATTATCATTATTTAATGGCAATGTGAAGGGTGGAAGGGTGGATATCAGCAAGAGATAATGATTACAGAGCAGACTTGGAGCATGATGCTGGACAGTGATGTCACTGGCATCAATGAGTAAGTTTTGAAATTTTTATCTTAATCATTTGTTTTGTTTATGTTAATGGTAATATTAATGTTACACAGACTGGGCATTTCACCAAGAAAACAATTATGGATTAAAGCGGTGAAGAAATTGACATCTGAGAGACTTGGACGGGAGGGTCTCGCTGCTTGGGAGGACAGAAAGTTAAACGCAGACCCGGAAGCGCTGGAGTCGAAGGGAACGGAAAAGGAAATTGGTCCGAGTAACGCAGAAACGGAACCGGAAGTTCCTGTGGCACCACAACCGGTAGCCGAGGAAGAACCTCCAATGCAGAGAGGTATACCTGTGTTGACACTTATAAATATAATGTAAATTACCATAACATAAAGTAATATGTTATCCCATGAATTATAGATGTTTTCAAAAAGGGTGTTCTCTACAAGGGAATATTTTGTCCTTCGCTCAGCAATAGTTTTCATAGTCAACAGCTGGAAACGTCGTATCTGCATTATTCAAATCGTCAGCGGCAAAAGTCTTTGATAATGCTCAACATCGTTGATCTATTTTTAAAGGTAGAAATTATTAATCGATAAAATATCATTAATCCATGGGGGTCAGTTACTATGTTTAAAAGAATTACAGATAGCACTAATCTCTATATGGCTCTGGAGAAGAAATGAGACTAACAGCGACGGTCTCATCGAGTCTTTATCCTGGACAGTGTGCTGTATGGCAGCAAATATAATAATATGTGTTCTGGGTTGCTGGCGATGTTTCTCAAACAATTATCTCTACTGGGCTTCTATCTTTACCTGGTTATTAATAAACTCACAAGGTAATGTATCCGTCAGAACTGTGTATTCGGTCCACTTATAGAATCTGAGGAAGAGAAAAGGTTAGTCTCATGCTTGACAGCGACAAATAAATAAAAAAATTCCATACCGTTGGAAATATCGTTGAAAGGCCTGAGTATTAATTTTATTTTATTCAGTGAACCGAAACCATTGACAGTTCTAATCGATAAATTCAGACGATATCCAGTGAAGCGCGTTACACCAATGGAGGCCACCTGTTACTCCCAGATAGGAAAATAGCAATTACTAAAAATACAGGAATAATACATAAAACATAGAAAACTCCCTTGAGGATGTTTCTAATGTTTTCTCAAGCTCAGTCTCTCTGTATGTTCACTGCTAAAGTAGCCAGATACCCAGACTGAAATTCTTCGGCGAATAACATTGAACGTTATTTATTGATTCATAAAAAATGGTAGAGTATTAAAGAAGCAAATAAAGTGTCACTTAATAATCTAACTCTTGCAGGATTTATAGGAGCAGGTCTGAATTTTTCTAGTCAGCAACGACTAATGTGGTACATATTATTCGTTGTGTATGCCCCTTATGCCATGTTACCATTACCATTAAGATGGTGCGTGCTGGCAGGATTTGGCACAGCCCTTACACATACAGCAATGGCGATAGCAACTCTCTTGGCAAATTCAACCTACGTAAGGGAATATATAAAAATAAAAGATAAGTTAATGTAATTGTTACTTCATTATTCATTAATATCATTACCTCCAGGAACTAGCATGTGTCGCTAGGATGTTGTCGACCAATGTGCTCCTCTACGTCGCTGTTAATCTAGCAGGGATGTACACAAAGTACTTAACGGATCGTGGTCAAAGGCAGGCCTTTTTAGAGACTCATCGATCCATGGAAACTCGACAGCGTACGCAGAGTGAAAATAATCGTCAGGAAAAGTTACTTCTATCAGGTAGATGATGATTCAGTTTTCCTAGACAGACAAAGAGAAGATTTATTAATTTGCAGCAGTCCTGTACGTCAGTTCCAGATTGATTCCATTAAACTACTGACCATTACACTTTCTAATTTTACTAAGTTAATTTATAAAGCTTCTGACAAGGTAAAGAGTTTATATTTACTCTGGTAACCACGTGCAGACTACAATACCCAGTGAAGCATCCATAACGTGGTCACTAGAGTGTCAAGAGGGTCACTAGAGAGATTTTCAGTCGATTGCTTTAAAGTTCTTTACATATGGGCTATTGATTTATTCTGTATACATATATTTCTATTAATTCTAAATGTTCAGGTACTAGAGTATATATATCTCGCTCTGTACAGTCCTGCCAGATTTCGTCGCCAAGGAGATGATACGCGACATCGCCAGGGAAACCGAACGTGGTGGAACAATTTCGTTCACGCCAAATCAATTTCACAGGATTTACATACATCGCTATGAAAATGTCAGTATACTGTTTGCAGACATCAAAGGATTTACAGGTAGAAACGTGGAGTATAATAATTAGATCTAGTAATTATATCAACCTCTACTTCATGGGCTTGATGGGTAACTTGGTATTGTTTTTTTTAGCACTTGCCAGTCAGTGTAGTGCGCAGGAATTGGTCAAAGTGCTGAATGATCTCTTTGCAAGATTCGACAGACTGTCATCTGAGAATCATTGTTTAAGAATTAAACTTCTTGGTGACTGTTACTACTGCGTTTCCGGTTTGCCAACTGCCAGAGTTGATCATGCGCATTGCTGCGTTGAGATGGGATTACATATGATCAAAGCAATCAGGGATGTTCGTTATACTACAAAGGTTTTTATAATTTTTGTACCTTAATCTCTGTCTTTTTTGACATTAACTCTTCTATCAGAATAATTTTGGTTTCGGTAGGTGGATCTCAACATGAGAATAGGAATACACAGTGGATCTGTACTCTGCGGAGTCCTTGGTTTAAGGAAATGGCAATTTGATGTATGGTCCTATGATGTTACGCTTGCTAATCATTTGGAAAGTGGTGGGATTCCAGGGTTGGTACAGATACAATTGTTGGTTGTGTTATAAATGAGGGTGGTTCTATAAAAATATTTACTTGTAGGAGGGTTCATATATCTTCTGATACATTGAAGTGTCTCAATGATGTTTATGAAGTAGAACTAGGATGTGGTACAGAGAGGGATAATTATTTGAAGGATAGAAATGTGGTGACTTACTTGATAAAGCAGACAGAGCCTCTCAGATCAAGGAGACGATATTCGTCTCGTCCAAAAATTTGGAGCGAGGATGATTCAGGCAATAGGAGTAAGAAGAGTTTTAAATTGAATAATCCCTTATCGGCAAATAGTAATCCAAGTTCTTTGGAGGACGATATAGGGGTTGATTGGACACCAGAAATTCCATTTGAGAATGTAAGATTATAAAGGGCTACAATGAATGTAAATTTATATAAGAAGAAATGAATTATTTTTGAATATATTTTTTGGATCAATTTAGTTAAACAGTGCTACTTCGATGAGTAATTTAGAATCTGAATACCTGGAGGAGGAAAATGGTACAAGCAAAAATTCAAAAACTCCTTGCAGTGCAGCTAGTGAGAAATTGGCAAAGGCTTCGGATGCTCTGGAATCAGCCAGTAATAAAAGGATGAGATCAGCCAATATAAATGCATGGACACTCCGTTACAATGATGAGAGTCTAGAATCACAGGTTGAGGAATATTATTATACATAATAAATATATATGTAACTAATACTATAATAATTTATGTGAAAGGTACTGAATATTTTTTTATCCTTATAAAAGTTTGGACAGCTGCGAGAAGATATGTTCAAATCCAACATGATATGCTGCTTCGTCATTTGGCTTTTCATTGCAATTTGTCAAGCAGTGATACTTCCTAGGTAATTATTATTAAACGATAATGAGATTGAATTTTTAAAATAAAAATTACCTTTACAGCTGCACAATACTGTTGATATCTTTACTCTTGACTACGTTGATCCTTGTGGGAGCTTCAATCCTGGTAATGGCAGAAGAATTCAAAAGTCTTCCAACGTATCTTCAGCATTCCTCATCGATGCTAGTCCACAATAAGCAGCACAGGACGATCTTCATTTGCAGTGTGATATCCTTAATGGCAGCGACCTCGTTAATAATCGTCACAGCATGTCCCTCAGGTGGCGATTGTTCAGGAAAAACCTTGGAAACATCCTTTAAATATCCAAGAGCAGCAATAATGACATCATCCTCAAGAATAATAACAGGCACAACGACCGAGCAACCAGAGACATCCTCCACGACGATGAGTCTAAACGAGCTCATCCTTGGTTTCCTAGCAGCTGCACTCAGGGAAGACATCAACAGGGATAACTTCACGGAGAGTAGTAGGAATCGGTCTAAGAGTGATCCCCAAGAGTCCAGGGATATCGAGGTGAAGCTGACTCACATCGTGAATGGAAAAGCGAGCCTCGCTAAGAGACGAACCAGGCAAGAGTTCTTCCGGTTTTACAGATACGAGAAGCACTACGGTACCACTGCGAGGAGACATTACAGAAGGTTCGCGAGGAACCGAGGTAAGGATGATCAGAGGATGATTACTTTGAGGAAGGTCTTGTCAATCCAGGAAGATATGAAGCCCATCGAGCAGCTGGACATTTGTCAAACTGGAAATTGTTTTCATCCTGAGTACATTGTATTTACTTGGATCTTATGTCTGATCGCACTGGCTTCGGCTTTGAAGCTTTATTACCTAGTGAAAACTGCCCTGGCCAGCATCATTGTGGCTGTCTATACTGTACTCATCCTGGTATTGAAACCAGAATTATTCTCAGAACATTCCCTGGAGGAGAGTATGTAAGTTTATAATCATTATTAAATTCTTTATACTTTTGTTACCAACAATTTTTTATTCGTTCAATAGTAATATTTTCAGGACCAACACACCCTTATCGGCACAGATGCTGATATTTCTGGTAGTGTTCCTGGTGATGGTTACCTATCACGGTCGTCTAGTGGAAGTTACATCCAGGTTGGATTTCTTGTGGAAGCAACAAGCAGAAAGGGAACTGGGTGATATGATAGAATCCAGACATAATAATATGCAATTATTGAAAAATATTCTGCCTGATCATGTGGCTCATCATTTTTTAACTCAGGACAGAGCACCGGAGGTGAATGCAATTTTATATGTAATAAAAGTAATCAGTTTTAGTTTTCTTCAACTTTACTTGAATTCATATATTTCAGGAATTGTATTCGCAATCGCGTGACAAGGTGGGTGTTATGTTTGCCAGTGTACCCAATTTTACGGAATTCTACTCAGAAGATGTGAATAAAGGAATGGAATGTATTAGACTACTCAATGAGATAATTGGTGAGTGACTTCATCGTTCCATGAAATAATTTGAAGTAATTTTACATTCAGTAAACTGGTATTAATTGACTTACAGCTGATTTCGATGAATTGCTGGATGAGACAAGGTTTCATTGTATTGAGAAAATTAAGACTGTGGGAGCCACATATATGGCTGCATCTGGACTCAATCCCTGTCAAAATGTATGAGTTAATAATTTTAATATTTATAGCAAATACTTGATAGACAATTGAAAAATTCATTATACTGCTTCTACTTTCAGGATAAAACTACAGATGATATGGAACATCTGTGTCGTCTAGTAGACTACGCAGTAGCAATGAGGCAGAGATTGGAGGATGTCAATGTACATTCATTTAATAACTTTGACCTTCGAGTAGGAATAAGTTGTGGTCCTTTAGTGGGAGGAGTAATTGGTGCACGAAAGCCAGTTTTTGATATTTGGGGTAATACAGTAAACGAGGCATCGCGTATGGACTCGACAGGTGTCATGGGAAAGATTCAAGTACCACGAGATATAGCTAGGGTGAATAATGCACCAATAAAAAAATTACATACTATCATAAGGAACATTAATTAAGTATTAATATTTTCTAAATCAGTTTCTAGAGTCCAGAGGATATCAAACACAAAAAAGGGGCCTGATCGAGGTCAAAGGAAAAGGTACCATGGAAACTTACTTTGTACTTGGAAAAGGTACTATACACCAGGAAGGTACAGCGAGACATACAAGTAGCTGTAGAAGTCTGGCTGCTGTGGTCTACGGAGTAGTGCAAGCAAGGAGGAAACAGACAAGGGCACTTAGGAGAACCTAGGGAACATCCTCCTGGAGAAAATCCATAGATGAAAAAGAGAGAAAATGACAAAGACAATGAGAATCAAAAAATAAATATACATGATAGGAATCCTCGTTCACTAGGGGCTGTGCAAGTGTTAATTATTTCATAATAATGAGAGGAATAATACAGTTATTATGTAAGAATATCGATTAAGAGGATTTTAAGGACAGAAGAAAAATATGATAAAAAAAAGCCCAACAGAGGATGAAATTCTCTTTGTATATTCTCCAGGAGGGAAATCAAATATCAACGTCTTCGTACCTTCGCAATAATTATTACGTGTGAACTTTAAATATATCAATTTATTCGCTACGATTGGTCATTAAATAAAATTTCATATAGGTACTATTACAGTATTCGTAGAGTAAAGCGCTAATATTTAATATTCGTCTCGTCATAGTTATTTCGCAAGAACTTGAGGAAGCTGTAGACGAGACAGAAATCGATAAAGTTGTTTTTCTCATTGGTCGTTCGGAGTGGCGTGAATTTTGTTACCATCAGAATTTGTTTTCTTTGATCATCCAATGAAAACAAAACATTTCGGGGAAAGAAAGAAAGAGAAGATACAATATTTATAAGAAACCACAAACAAGATAAAATATTCAATTGATCTCATTCAATGGAAAGTTTCCACAGAATGAATAATATTATCAAGAATGTGTAGAAAAAAAATGCAATGTAGCAATCCATAGTAGTTCACAAACCTTGTGCGAGCAATTTGGGAGAAATAAAAATTGAAGTCGTCTAGCAATAGTCGAGCAAGACAACACAAGCAAAACTTCCTCTGACTGTTATTACATAACATAAACTGAGTTATAAGTACTGTATATGTGAGACAGATAAGTCAGTAAAGCTATTTCAATAGAATATTGTTTCATGGAACAATCAAGCCCCAATTCTTGTTTGAGCTTATATTGAAAGAAACAATTTCTTTGAGAAAATGCTTGGAGACAATTCTGTTTAGACAAGAAAAGCGTCAAACGACGAATACAATAGAGATATGTGAACAAAAAATGGAGAACTAAGAAACATTACCACTGTGTATCCATTCTACTCCATTTTAAAGAATATTATTATGAAAATTCACGTAAAACGTCATTTAACATTCGTACATAATCTTCGCACGCACTCATCATACTCTTTTGTTTTATGAAATGTTTTTTAACGTCTCTTACACGCTGTCTTTCAATCTTCTATTAACTGTTATAATTCTAACCTCTTCGTGGTCTTCGTCTTTACTGGGGCACTTTGAGAACGACGCCGTAACCTCCTCGCTGTCCCGACGAGGACGATAAGTGAATACACAGAAGGACGAGCAAGAAAATAAGGAAGATGATCGTCCTCATCTCCCGGGACGTCATTATTGTTACTGAGATAATTGGCGTTTATGACGTCTACACCCGCCATATATAGAACACCAGGACGTATCCGCTGCGCCATATTGGAAGGGACACCTAACAATAATACGTTACGAATAAATCTTTTTGTTTCTTATGCGTGCTTTTGTTATCGTTTGTTGCTTATTCTCCTCATTTGCGCAATGAGCGTCAACTTATTCAAAAGTTACAAATTTTTCACTTACGAGCTACAATTTAAACATTCTTCGCGCTCAACGCACAACGTCGACAAAGCGGAGTTCGCTGAATCGTATTTTGCCCGACGGCCATTTTATTCATTCGCACATTATTTAATTCTTTTTTTTTCGAAAATATTCACACACCCCAAAAGTCGAGATCGTGCGAGCACGAAGAGTTTATTTATCATTTTTTAAATATTTTTTGGGCTATTCTCGTTCGCGTCTCGAAACCCTGTTCCCTGTAGAAATAACTCGCGATTCTCTCTATTCACGGTATCACTATTTTTATTTATTTTCATTTACTTACGTTTGCATTTATTTCTCTTATATTTTTTCACTCGACGCGAGCGAAACGAAAAGAGCACCGTTAATCGGGCGACGATGAAATTCCAGACCAACTCTCAGAACGAATTCGCACGCGTTCCGAAAACGCAAAAGATTGTACGCTTTCGTCTTTTTAAATTTCATCAACCGCGCCACGGAATTTTTTCAAATTATTTCATTTTTTTATAAGAAAAATTCACATCCAGTTACAGTATCACGACTGCAAGAGAACATACAAAAATCTTTTAGCCAAGACAGCTAAGATCCCCGACAAACATCCCGAACTTGTTATTAAATTTATATTAATTTCATATATATAATAATAATTAATATATAATAATTACAAATAATTAGTTATTAATATTCTTTCTTTTTTTTTTTTAATATTTCACTAGATTTGTAAAAAGTCTATTCTCCTCGCGGCTCGTGTCGCTGCCTTTGTGTTTCTCCGGATTTATTGAGACACAGCATATATCATGCCGCGTGCCTCCATTTGTTTATGTCCGTGTAAATGTCTGTGTAATTATCGAATTTCTTAAAAGTAAAACCATTCGCATCTTTCAATATCTTGTAAACTATCCTGTGTACTTGTCTCGTGTATCGCGCCTACGAAGTGTAATCGCGTTGAAGAAAAGGAAAAGAAGAAAAAAAAAGAGAGAAAACGCCGTCAGCATCGCGGCACAATTATTCCCACTTTGTTTCATTTTAAATTGCTTTTATCACAAGAGCCCGTTTAAATGTAATCGTCGCGACTCTAAAAAAAAAAAATGCCGCCTATTTGACACGACAAAGAAAAAAAAAAGTACACCCCTGGAAGCAACGCCTTTAATGCATCCCTCGTATAATTTTCATGTCCACCGTGATCGTAAGATACAAAATAATGATTGTCAACGTATCAAGAGATCAAAGACAAGAGAGAATGATACAATCATCGCAAGACCGGATATACTAATCAAAGAGAACAATATTCCGTACTCCCAGGAACGTACTTCCGCGTTTTATTGAAAAACTTAATAGCTAATAGCTAGGGGGGCGGAGGGTAAGAGAGGAGGCAGGGGGAGCGCGTCTTAGCAAAGGGTACCGGTACAGAAGGATGGAATATTTGACTCCCTAGTTGCTGAATTTGAATACCGGATACAAGAGGTGCTATGACAGGCCGTAAACAGTATATATCACGGCATGCGAACTGTCAACGGTACCCTGTGCTCCGTATGTACACTCGGTGTAAAACTCCGAGAAAGAAGAAAAAGAAGGAATGGAAAATATATAAATATATATGTCAACTTCCGTTTAACAGATGAGATTAAAGCGACAGGGAACAATATACCTAACGCGTATAGAATATATAGTATGGTACTATGTATACTGTTGTCAAGTTAGACGCGTCTTTTGAAAGGTTATGATAGCAACACAGGTATATACCATAGCTTTGTTGCATATCACAAGATACTACCCGGATATGAGTTTATATTGTATTCCGCGCGTATTTAATTTTCTTCATTCTTTCCTTTCTTTTCTTCTTTTTCTCCTCCCATTCGTACCTCCACATTAAATTAACCTCCTTGCGTTTGGCCAATGGCGTTTCATCAAATACATAAGGAGTACGTGAGAAACCCAATAAATATATGCAGTCCGTGCTTCTCGCGTACTCCGATATTTTTCTTCTTTCTTTTTTTTTGTTTGTTTAAGTCTTCCTTCGCGCACACTCTTTCTTAATTACGTATATCCGGCATTCTTCATGCGTTGCCGTTGATGGCGCCATCTATGCGCGTACGATGATGCGCACTCGTCGATCAGATCGGTAGAGGAATATCAGAAAATATTTACATATTCTTCCATGAGACATCCGACGACGAGGACGTCGTCGTCGATCACAGCCATTCCGTGAAACAACCGCCGAACCACATCACTACTATTGGGAAGAGATAAGTCGTGAGTGCCCTGGACAGAGACATTTTCTGTCTTGATGCACCGCTGTCGGTTGTCCTGGTCGTGTTGCTGGTTACTTTGTGTTCCGTGTTCACCTTTGGGGGTTCTATCTCTTCTGGCGGTACATAAGGCTTCTCGGGTACAGGTTGAGGTTCGTATCCCGAACCCTTCTCGGCGAAGCCATCCTCGTCGTCGGTTATCCTGTCGTCATCTTCATCGTCACCCGAACCACTTCCGGAACCGTACCACGTTTCCTCTGCAATATATGTAGACAATAAGTTATACTTTTAAATGTAATGCAAATGAACATAAGTAATTTTGTACGTTATGTTATTTTTACCTGTGTCTATCCAGTCAACGTCTTGACCACTGTAAGCCGATCTTAAACGATTCGTTATCGTCGCCAGGGCAAAGATTTGTTCCCTGACTATCGTCGGTCTGAACGTGGAGGCACGTACTTCCGGATTAAGATTCTGGGATTCCCCGTCCGAGGATACTGGATATATGTATCTGTTAAGGATGATAATGAGATTGTTAATGATCAAGAGATAAAATTGATTTTATTTTTTCAAATAAAAAAGTATCACATACTTATCCACGTGAGTACCGTTCCAGCATTCCTTGGTATTACTGGGTGGTACTACCAGACCATTGTTACACAGTTGATAAGGAAGGTAGACCCAGAACTGTCTAGAGTCCCGGACCTTCTGCCTTATTTCCTTGACGAGTTTGTCAAGCATCACAGCCGTCGGTGTCTTGTCCTCTGCCGAGGGTTCCTGATCGAATTTCAGGGACTCCAACTCGAGTTCCTGATTGTTCCTCCTGCGACGTCTACCAAGAACAGGACGTCCACAGGCGGAGAAGACACCCTTGGAGACTTCCTGACTGTTCTCTTGAAAGTTCATAATGGCCTCGGATATCTTGAGATTTATGGGTCTGACCAGCATCTCAATATTGAAGGGTCCAAGGAGCCGATCAGCAATCTTGTCAAAGGCTTCTGCAAATGTCAAGGCGAGATCATTTTTAAGTATTTCATCCACTCATCAAGGACCTACTCTCTCACAGTACCCAATTACGCAATAGGTCAAACGAGTGTGATATCAATTAATTCTAAGATTCATCAGAAGGGACTGATTGAATTAACAAGTATCAAGAGTGTAAAACGGTTATAGAGATTAATCCAAGTGATTAACGACAGCTGGGACGCTTAAAATTCTAGCAGGGAAAAAGGGTCTGAACTTTATTTGGCATACAGATCTGTCTCTTACTAATAAATTGATTCCATTCCGAGTCAAGGGCCGCGTGCTGGGCCAGGCAACCTTTCATCACGTTGGCGCACATGTCCCCACAGGCTAAAACGTTTCCTGGGATCCCACTGCAGGAAGGACAAACTGTCATCCTGGTGAGAGCAGCAGCGCACTCTGGCGACGATTCCAACTAAAAGAATAATTAGTCACATGTTTTTAAACACGTATACAGCTACTCATACTCTGAACCCTCAAACCGTTTGGTCCTTTGGGATAAAAATCGAGCCTAAACTTCATCCCTTACCGTCTGCATATTCTTCAGGACGTCAGCAGCAATCGACAGGGCCTGACTGAACGCCCTGGTAGCCACGAAGCATCTTTTCACCTGAACCCCCAATTTGTGGGGCACGTCGCCAAACGGTGCCATCTCCTTCATGTGATTGCTCACGCACTCAAGATACTGTCTGTCAAATTGGTACTGACTGTTCAGCACAGTGAACATTTTCTGGTACAGGGTATTGAAGAAGTTTTCCATGACTTCGTCCAGATCGACCTAAAACGTGAAAGAAGTAAATTAATCAACAGTCAAACTAGAATACGATAGATACAAAGTAAAATAAGGAAGCCATTAGAAATACGGTGATAAAGCTAACAGCCTCGAAAAGCGTCCATAGCAAGTGAGAATAAATAACAGGAAGCGTCGTTGGGGCAATGAAATTCTTTCTGTCGGCCATTTTGAGTCTCGGACATGCATAGAAAATCAGTAAATTTTTCATGTTAAAATATCAAGGTATTCCGACGATTTCAATGACAGTCGTATAAAGCAATGGTAGTAAGATGAATTCTATATTGAAAATGATCCAGAAGACATTTTTGAGATCCATTATAACGAATGGCTTCTCAAGGAATTACTGTTTGCCGTCCATAAGGCATTCTCGTTCGCGAAGGTCTGGAGGATCGATTTCGCCTGGCAAAGTAGAACCGGTATAAAGCACACGAAGGCAGGGTTCGTTGGCTCCTGCCAGTAATTATAACTCAGCCAAAAATAGCCTATTCGATAAATCATCGATTCGTGCCTGTTTGATGTATACAATTTGCATACCCGTTCTGAATACACGATATGCGTAAAGCTGTGAAATAATGAAATTTTGTCATATTGTTTTAATAACATATATACAATATATATATATATATATATATATATATATATATATATATCGTTCAATTATTTCTTTCGTTTTTACAGTTCTTCTAATACGCCCGAGCCCAAGAATATTCAATTCCGTAAGGGATCAAAGAGACCACGTGGTTATCGCTTAAAAGCCACCGTCGTACATTTCAAAGGGCTTCGAGGTATATTCAGTTAGCGACCCTTATCAGCTACTCGGACGATTCTACACGTCAAAAGCATTGATTAAGCACGGCACGTCACGCAAGCCCTCCTGGTGGTGATTTGCCCATGCTAGCACGAGGTAGCAAGAAATAACCATGAGGGGAAAACATTTTGAGTTAAATGAAAATTATTCAAGCCACAGGAACTTACGTACAAGGTACGGATAGCTGTGGCAGTATACAGGTATGCATGAAAGGCGAAGAAGGATAGAAGGAAGAAATGAAACGGTAGGAGTAAAGTGAGAAGTCAAAGTATGTAATGAAAAAAAAAACCAGCCGCAAGTTGAAACTTTTAATTTGCTTACTCCGAATCGTAGGTAGTGTACGAAGTCTCTATACGAGGAAGCATTTTCATTTTTTTTAAATCTTTGACTTCCATCTTCATTTACTACCGGACCGCGAAATTTCAAATTGCTAAATTAGATCCGCTTGGCCGATCTTCGCCAAATTTCGTATGTATTACGGCTAGATGATATTTCGTACTTGCAGAGAATTGCGGTTTTATTCATGGAAGTAGTTACAGCGATAAAGTTGATTTTTCGAAAAATTCAAAATATAAAATCAAAATTTCTCGATGGATTCGGCCCAAATGCAACACCCAACCAACTTTAGATACAAATCTCTTTGTCAAGAATTATTTAGACTAGTATCACCAAAATTTTCGATCGCTAGAGTGATAACGTCCTTTTTTTTTTGGAAATTTGAAAATGGCATAAAATCCGAGCGGCAGCTTGAATCATGACGAAAATTATAGTCGATCAAGAGATTACAGGGCTGCATATGCAAAATTTGGGGGCTGTAGCTAACACCGTTTTCGAGTTATACACGTTTGAATTTTGGGTGGCCATTACACACATACACATATATCTGGAAATTTTCTCAAAATGTCTTTTGGGACACGTTTGACAAATTCTGAAAATGAAGATTTCGAAAAAACAAAATTTCTCACCGTCACATAGCTTCCTCTGTGAGGAAGCAAAAAAGAAAGAAAAAAGTTTGCCTTTGTAAATTGAGTCTGCGAGTCTCATATCGTTGAGGAAATTTGATTTACAGTCGAGACTCCCTCTAGGTGGGAGCTTTAAAGGTAGCTGGGCTGCACGTTATGGATATAGGACGGACCAAGGTTGTAGCTGAGCTTTAGAATGTCCATTATCCGAGACTCTTCCCTAATAACACGAACAAAAGCTTCCACAGAGCTCCCTACCCGACTTGTTCAACTTGCGTTAATTCAACTGGGTAGGAGGAGCTTTTTAGATCGAGCTTGGTCGAACAATAAAGGGGCGCGGCCTTTGTAGTAAATTTTTTGTTGTTGTTGCTTCCACCTACAAGAGCTTTTATTATATATGGAATATTACGTTTTAATAATGCCTGACGGGTGGTATTAACGAAAGCTGTGCTTTTCAGGATATCGTACTGGTATATAAGCTGTATGGCTGTGTAAGGTGGGAATAAGGCGTGTAAGGATTACGGAATATATTAAGAATAAAAGCTCACCGTGCCCTTGGCATAATAATTCTCAAGCTCTATGAAGAGATCCGTGAAGACTTCAGAGTTCTGCTCGTAGAGTATGCCGTATGTCTTTTTGAACATCTCGTGAAAGCCCTTCTTGCTGGTGGCCAAAAGCTCCTTGAAGAAATCTGCAAAAAAATCAGGGTCTCCCTTTAGCGAGCTTTTGGGTGAGCTTTTTGATTTACACGTTGAGTCGTTGCCTTCCCTTCTCTCTCCTGGCCAACTTCTAGCAAGTCGATTGCCCAGCGGTAGATACTATTTGGCAAACGCCTGGCTAAAGCTCTTTTGACAATGAACGTAGTTCTTGCGAGGTTTGATAAAGCTCGGGCAAAGAGCTTGCGGCTTCAAGACTCTTGCACCTCAGCCAACCGAGCGAGGGGACTTTTGCTGTGGCTTCAGGGAGTTTCTGAGAATTGAAAGTCCAAGGAAATAAAATAAAAAGCTTCTAGGAAGCACAAGGGTGGTCCCCCATCGAAAGCTCTCGGAGATGAAAGAGCGAATTTTTGAAGTGGGGAAATTAAAAGCTGTGTAATGGAGAAAATAAAAAGAGATAAATCGATTAAAACTTCGAAATTTCTTCCAGTCGCAAGACTGAAAATACTTCCAAGCTTTTTTTACGCCTCTTTCACAAGCTTTTCATATCCTCTTTCTAATTAAACAGAACGTAGCATCCTCCTTTAAAAGCGACGAACAATCTTCAAGTGAATCACGTAGCAGGGATTTTCAGGGGTTCTGTGAAGACAACCCCAGAGGCTACGTTACGCGTTACCAGAGGGCGGAGAGGACCAGACAAGGGTCGTAGGGGTTGAAGCAATTACATTGTTCAGAGACAACCCCACGTATACATAGAAGCGACGGAAGTAGCAGAGAGGCTGATATCAGTATACAACAAAGTAGCCTTGACATGTACCAATTTTATCAGTAAGGATCCCCCTTTGTGCTACTGACAAAGAGATACATAGATATGCCAGAAATAGAATTCAGCAAAGGAATTTAAAAAACAGAAAACTTTAACAAAACTTTCCACCAACTTATAGCTTCGATACAAAATGTCAATAAAAACGACAAAGTCTCTATATGAAGTATTACTTTCACATCAGGAAATCAATAACCATAATACAGCATTCAAAGTATCTCAAGTATTAAAGTATTCAAGGTCCTTCAAGTATTACCAAACAAGAAGCTTCAAAGTAAAGTTTTATTTTGCATCTACATACTCAGACAACCTGACACGTGTACAAGTACATGGTACATGTGTATATGACTTAACTCAAATCCTCTCTAGCATATAGGGTATACTGTACTTGTATTATATAGTACGTGTATACATATATGTACTATTCTCTCAAAACCTCTACATTTTTTCCTCTCGTGTTCCCTATGTGCCGTTCACAGGTCTTTCGAAAACGCCCTTCTGGTTCTTCTTTAATTAAAAAAAAAATCTCAGCAAAAGTCTCTCCACACAGGACGTATCCACTCGGCGCAGCTAACCGCAGTGGAATCTCATTCGTCGCCTCGACGTGGAAAATTCGTTGACTTTAGTAAAATCCGTGAAATTGATGACAGACATCTCAAAAGTTCTTTCCCTGGGTAGAACGTGTGTATATGGAAGAAAAAAAAAAGATTTAAGTATATATCAACTGTTAAAAGTCTATTTTTTTTTTTGACTAACTTTGAAACCTCGTGTCCCTCGTAGCTAATAATTGTTGTAGACGCTGCAGAGTCTCCTTCAGCGCTTTCTCGTGCTTGTCTCTGGCTCTTGCCTGAAGTCTCGTTTCCATGTCGGCGCTGCAGCAAACTTCCCTGCCGCTCCTGACGCCACCGCATGTTTTCAATTCCATGGCTGAAACGAGTAAGACGTAAGATTAAATTATTGCCGATTCAATTTTTTTTTTTAATTTATTAGGGATGCAATATCTCTATGGCATAGAGTAATGGCCGTCGATGGTATAATAAATCATGAAACATTTATTGTACCTAGAGGGTTAACATCCTGGGAAATATATATGACAGGAAAGAGCTTTTCTTCTTCCTCATGAAATGGACCATCTTGAGAATCTCAGGGTATAGTGTTTATTCAGGAAATACTATCTAAGGGATGACTCTGTCTTCTACTGTCTTCTACATACCCAAAGGTAAACAAATTTTTTTTTTCTTTGATATTCGATATGGAGGGCTTCGAAAACTCGTTGAAAAAGATAACAGGGAGTTTGGGACTATTTTCATTGTGTACACCTGGATGGGATGACGTGGCGGAAAATATTTGTCCATATATGAACATTCAGGCTCCGATTGAAGATGTAAGTTGGACGATCACGAATAACGTCACGTATCCGAGAGAAAATAATCTCGTAAATCCAAATCCTTGGAATCCATTAAGGATTTTCAAGTCTGATAAATCGTGCTCACGTTCCCAAAGTAGAAATTGCTTTTCATCCTAAACTTACCCTCGACAGTATTATACTCTACATATGTATACAGTGTGTATATATATATATACATACACACACACCCGCATTTGAATCGTTCAACGGGGTATACACTTTCAAAAACCAGTATACACATCGCATATGTTACACAGGAAAGACATAGGGAAGTTCTTGATAATGGAAGAAAACTGCTGAACCTTGAAAGACAAAATTTACCGCTTGATAGGTTCGTCCATAAAACTTTTAACGGTGCCAATGGATAATCTAAGCTCGCGAGCCCCGTAAAAGATTGTCGGATACTTAAGAAACTGCATAAATTTACGTAAACAGAAAGTAAACGAAGTTGACGTAAGAAAAGGGATGAAAAACATTTCAGACTGAAAAATGCATTGTTTCGTATTCGGTTCCTTGGCTGAAAGTTCGGTCGGTAAATGCGATATCTATATTACCATTTGAACTTTTGAATTGGACTTAACATGTAATTCCAACAGTCGGTAAGGTAGACCAAGTAAGCTAAAGGAAAATTCCTATTGGCGAACTACACTCGCAAATATGTCATAGCAAAATAGGACAACGTAAAAAGCCCCGTGGACCTAACGTAATACGGTTACAGTGACGCCGTTTGTTAAGCATCGCGAGGACCCTGCTACCAGCCAGTGCCTGCTGAGTGTTACAGTGGCAGTGGTATTGTAGCTATTGTCACAGTTGCGGTAACTATTACTATAGCGATTGTGGGGAAGGTGGTAGCCGACAAGCGACGTCGCCGACAGTTTCCGTCGCGACGTATTTCCGAGACGCGGGTCGACGCTCTCATGAGAACTGCCCTTTAAATGGTCCAAAAGAATTTTCAAGACTCGTTGAAAGTACCGATGAATATATAGATATACATTCGGGGGGCTTTTATATAGACGAAATGCATAATATACTCCAGGTAAGATATTTCGCTCATTGTGGATACAGCTTTACGTTATACATACATGTACCATTAAAATTTTATCAACTTAACATCTTTACACGATCTAACAGATACAGGATGATTACAGATACACGAACGATATACATATATAGTTCTTTTAAACAGTCTAGATTATTTTTGTCTCAAAGCCTTCCGTTTCCTATTGAAATTTCGCCGTGTTATGTCAGGGAGGTGAGGAACGGGGGGAAAAAATTCGATCGATTCGTCCTACATAAAATACACGTGTGGATGCACCTTGAAGCCCGAGTCCTTAACGGCCGATTAGACTAGCCGCGTCAAGCCGGGCGTACTTTGAGTAGGGTAACTGTTTTTTTTTTTTTATTTTATAACGAAAGGTCAGACTTACGTCATCGAGCGTCAATTTGCATAGGGAAAGCGTCCGTAATGTTTCCATGTAGTATACTATGCAGGATATAGGTATTGTCTGGTATGACAGTTACCATAAGTAAATATAGACCAATGGTATACACTGACTGAATCGATGTGGAAACTCGGCTTAAAGCTTGCGTTAGCTCGATACGACAAAGTTGAAGTGACGGCGGGTTCGGTAGGTACAGGATATGAAGATTCTGTTTGCGTGTACGTATGGGAATACTTCCACATGGATTCTGCTTCGGAGTAACAGTTCAATGTTAAAGCCAAGTACGGAATTGGAGTAGATGCAAGTTTGCCTTGCCTACACGTGCTTCCCCGAGTAGGAAAAATAAGTTTCGCGGAAATCGTACCTGGTGAGTATTTGACGAATTCGACAGAGAAAATCCGGGACGAGGGGATGGATATTATTAATTATTTCGAGGGGAGACAGATATATATAGAGACCGAAATAGAATCTTCAAAGAAGACGACGGATAGGTTATGAAGTTGTGCACGAACTGTAAATTATGAGAATGGAAATGACAGTGAAATTTTGTGACGGTAACATCCCTTTCGGGAAAAAAAAAGATACAAATAAAATTGTTTGGTTGTGTAAGGGCGGTTCTGAGGATCTTGGTCCAGAATGGTATGGCGAATCACGAGAGGGTGTTTGGCAAGAAGCAAACCCCTTGGTTGTTGCTAGGAGACACCCTTTAGGACTATATATTGTATTAGCTTTGGCTCGCTTGCGAGAGAACGGGGAAAGAGCTCTTTCTTACTCTTTAATTTTCTCTCTCTCTCTCTCGCACGCGTGGTCTCTCTGGGTCTGAACTATGGGAAAATTCAGGGCAGTTTTATTATAAATGTCAATTCATTTGATGATTATAAATAAGGTATAGAACGTCAAGACGTTCTTTTTTTTTTTCATATATCCCTCGTGAACGGATGAGACGCAATTTTACTGCAATTTTTGGTAAATTCATCGCGTCTTCCAATTTTTCAAGTACTAGCGGATATTTTTCAAAAGCTCTCGAGCTTCCTGTACGGAGAGACCAGTGAATTCGTAGCAATTAACGTTGGATAATTGGCCACGTTAATTGCAGCCGTTAAGTATCAGAGAGCTTTCGGAGGGCGGTTATGTAGACTCGGTCGGTAACTGTAGGTAACTGCTATTATCGTCTCAGTTAAATTCTGTATTACCTTTTGGATTTAAAAATTGATTATTCTAACAGGTGGCACGTATATTGTATGTAAGTACGCGTTGGTATCCAAGGGTTTTGGATGTGGTAGGAATTTATTAAGGTGCACTGAATATATATATATATATATATATATATATACACTCGAGAGGGTTGTTTTCGCAGGGTGGGATTTTCGCCTGTAATTTATTTGACGGTCCATTACGGGGAGTTTAATTAGTACCTAAAGCACCATAATATCATCCAACGAAATAGAAAATCTTCCAAGTTAATCTTTGACAGCGTCCTTAATTATAAATATCGTAAAATTCTCTTACCTATACGTTTTTGAATTAAATTTTTTTTTTTTTTTTTCAAATCTTCACTATACGTTTTCCCTTACTTACGGGGATTTACGGGCTGGAAAGTTTCATGGCCCGACGACTGGGCGCTCGATAAATTCAAATGCTAATTTAACGGGACGCGACAACGTGGCGCCTCGCGCACTTTGTCTACGGTAGCTTTATGTTTTCACGTTACAACGGTGTCGGCGTGTTTTATTTTTCAATTTCACATAACATTCACCGGCTATCGGGCAACGAAAAAATATGAGGAAACAGATCGCGAAAGTTACACGTGATAAAATTTCAATTTTTATCAATTATATTCCTACTCGTACTTCAGGGTGGTCTTCGTCGCAAGGGTTGGCACAAGGGAATCGGTATACCGTAATCACCCCGAGCAAAAGGGGTGGCTAATAATTAACAGTGGATTTAATTAAAATTAATATCCCACTTTCGCGACTAATTGCCGAAGGGGTTGTCGAAGGGAGGCTCCCCCTAATAATTTTCGGGATAAAAACTCAAAAAGAGGTACTACGACAATCTAATAAAAAGAAGGGCACAAAAAAAACTTCTAAATAATTGTCTTGCCCATTGGTACCACTAAAGAAATAATATTTCAACCCTCCAAAACGTAAAACCCCAATTACCTCAATTGCATCCCCTTCGTATTTTACATCGTATAATAATACGTACATCTGGATGTACCAGCAGTTTGCAATTTCGAAAAAGCAAATACTTCCAAAAACAAATAAATATATAAAATCCTCCCCCTCACTTGAGGCGCAGAGTTCGTTGCATCAATATTTCAGGCATTATCTGACACGACCCCTGACCCTACACATATTTATTCTATTCCAGTCCCATATGTATATATAACCCCATGTGATCCCCCCTTGGCCAACGACCACCATATCCCATAAATCAGTAAAAACATACGAATTTCGGAAAAATATTTCGACGAGAATAAAATAAATTTTATTCTCAATTCATATAACACGTATCCACCTCCCTCTACCCCCCCCTTACCCACCCACTACCCTACATATATAAACCCATGGTCCACCTATCCAGCATACCCACCATATTCCGTCTGTGGCTACCGTACGGTACACCCCAAAGCCACGGAGAAGAGCGCTAAAAAATTTTCTACAAAAAAATCCCTACGGTAGTTATCTACATTTTTTTTTTTTTACCTAAATCAGAGAAAAATTTTTTTTTCCTTTCATTTATATTTCATTAGCTGCAAATTATTGCAGGGGGTTGCGATTAGTGTTTACGAAAATTTTACATTGTGCCCAGTAATTCAAAGAGAGGGGGGGCGCAGGGGGTATCGTGACAAATTTCTTATTCCGTACGAGAAGCAATGTAAATCAATTTTTTTTTTTATGGAAATTGCAGCGAGAGGGTGCACAAAGAATTCGGAAGGAAAGTCATGGGGGTGCGAGTAGAATTTCTTATGGGGTAATATTTCTTTGACTCGACGAAGGACTGCTACACGTCTTGGGACGGAGGGGGCATGGTTATCTTGAGGAGCAATCGACTGGTAAGTTTACCTCCTGAAA